GAATGTTTTCTTGTCCCCCTAGTCTTAAACCTTTGTGGAAATGCTGGATCTGAAACCTCCCTCTGCCTTTCCCCAGGACACTTTGCCACCATCACGTTGACCTTCACTGACAAGAGTGGAGAGACTGAGCTGTGCATGGAAGGCCGAGGCATCCCTGCTCCTGAGGAAGAGCGGACACGGCAGGGTTGGCAGCGGTACTACTTTGAAGGCATCAAACAGACCTTTGGCTATGGCGCACGCTTGTTTTAGGGCCAGTAGCAGGGGGCTCCAGCCCTCCTGACACTTCAGTCCAGCCTCTCCTGGCTGGGGCTCTTGACTCACAGGATTGCACCATCCCAACCGCTAACTTGGGGTCGGGGTCCCTCCTTTCCACAAATACCTTGGGTTTGTGCATGTTTTCTGCTGGGTGGGATCAGAGGGTGATTTCTCTTTTATGTGTACATACGCTAAATAAACATAATTTTAAAAACATTTGCGTTCGAAACCTGTGTGACGAGGTGGCTGGTATTGGGTTCCCTTAAAGGTTTTGAATTAGGAAAAAAGAACAGGCGAGGCTTGAAGGCCTCAGCTCTGTTCTAGAGAAGTATATATAATTAAAAGGCACCAAGGGAGCTGCCTCTCACTCAGGCATTCCTAAACTGGTCTCCTTTTAGATGACACCTTTTTATCAGCACAGAGGGACATCTGGAAAAAGCAGTGCTAGCAAACTCCCTGCTGCTGCCATTGCTGGTGGAGATGGCATCCTGGGCTCTACTCTTCGTGTCTCTCTCCCTCTTGCATAGAAAGGTGACCATCAGATGCTGGTTTGAAGTGCAGAAAGATGGAGTTTGCCAGTCTGTGGCAGCTTCTACTAATGGAACAGTCGGTACACCAGACCCTCCACTAAGCAGTTGCCTTGCATTAGCTTATTTAACCCCCATAAAGTCCTGAGAAGTAGATAGTCATTTATTAAAATTTAAATCTTGGGTTTCTGGTGTATGAATATATTTGCTATAGTTAGAGCCCCGATTTCTAAGTAACAGCCAAAATCTAAACGGCTGACACTGAATTGTTTTGATTTGGAACAAGGATCATGACTTTTTTTTTTCATTGTGTTCAGAGAAGCTGCTGCATTTCTGGTATATTAGGTATCCCTCCCAGAGTGAGAAATTCCAGGCCACACTAGGACCCTCAAGAGAGGAAGAAATCATCCTTGTGGGGGCGTTGTGGGGATTGGAAGGACGGTAGAATGAGACACTATTAGCCTATATACATGTATCATTACACTATTGGAGTGACTGCCATGTATAGACAGGAATGAGGAGTTGTGCTCCATTTATATTCAATATGTTAAAATGCATTCTACTGTAAAATAAATACATCAAGACCTCAAAAATATATATTTTAAGGGGCTGGGAATATAGCTCAGTTGGTATTTTGTCTGCTTTGCATGCACAAGGCCCTGAGATCAATCCCCAGTACTGCATGAAAATAAACAAAAAAAAAAAAGGTATTATACCCATCTATAACTAAAAATATTTTTTTTTAAAGTATTTTAAGCCAGGGGTGATAGTGCGCACTGTAATCCCAGTGGCTCGGGAGGCTGAGGCAGGAGGATCGTGTTCAAAGCTAGCCTCAGCAGCTTATGCCCTGTTTCTAAATAAAAAGCAAGGACTGGGGATGTGGCTCAGTGGTTAAATGCCCCTGAGTTCAATCCCCGGTACCAAAAAAAAGTATTTTAAAATGCCTGGTACCATTAGATGAGTTTACCAGAGAGTGTGCCAAGTGCTGGGAACACATTCTACTGTGGGTCAGACTGCCACACTACAGTTTTAACTACCTGAATATGGAGCTACTTTCCCAGACAAGCCTGTCCTGGCATCTATTTTTGCCTTTTTTATTAGGTGGCAACAAGACCTTCAGGCTAATCCTACATGACTTGGCTAAAACTTTGTAACTAAAGTAGAAAATCAGAGTTCTGATCTGGATCATCTAGACACCCAAAAGCTATTCTCAGCTCAAATTACTCAGATGAGTGCTGGACTGAACTTATTCACATGTAATTCGACATCACATTTGCCTCCTAGGGCACCCAAAGAGAGGCCATTTGATTAAAAAAAAAATCAAACAAACTTGGGCTCCAGCTTGAGTCAAATCAATGGGCTCCTCCTAACAAACCATTAACAAAAAACTGGAGCCCTTTCAAAAGCCTAGCTAGAAAATTACCAGTTCCAGAATACTTACAGGAAAATGGGGAGAGATCACAACAGGCTCAGTAACAATTCTCACCCCTAGTACTGAAGGCTCTTCAATTCTTACCACTGTTACCTTATGCATCAGTTGGCCAATTGAGCCTAAAAGGCAGGGCGTCACACTAATGCCAGCAGCTCGGGAGGCTGAGGCAGGAGGATCATGGCAAGTTCAAAGCCAGCCTCAGCAAGTGAGGCCCTGTCTCTAAATAAAATACAAAATAAGGCTGGGGATGTGGCTCAGTGGCCTAGTGCCCCTGAGTTCAATTCCTGATACCCCCAAAAAAATAAATTAAAAAAAAGAAGAATGCCACTAATAATAAAACCATGGACTTGTTTTGAACAGCAAATGTTTCACTTCCTAACCCACTGGGCAAATCATCTTGCCTGTGAAATGGGTATAAGCACCTTATGAATGCTTCAGGATGATCGATGTAGAAGTACTGATAACTGGTGGCATTTAGCTTAAACCTGAAATGATATTTCAAAATGCTAGTTTAGACCAAATCGCAAATACTAGGCCAACAGTCCTCCAAGACTAAAAACCACCTGGGGGAACCTGTTGAATATAGAAAAGCAGACCCACCTAGAAGTTCTTTAGCAGATAAGGGGTATGACCCATGAACTTGCAATTTTTTTTTAAAGAGAGAGAGACAATTTTTAATATTTATTTTTTAGTTTTCGGCAGACACAATATCTTTCTTTGTATGTGGTGCTGAGGATCAAACCCGGGCCGCACGCATGCCAGGCGAGCGCGCTACTGCTTGAGCCACATCCCCAGCCCCATGAACTTGCATTTTAGTATCTCAGGAGATCCTGATTTCTGATGCATTCTTTTGAAGTACCTCAACATGTGAGGAAAATCTAGATGTAAGCAAAGGTGCCCATCAGGACCTTTGTGAATAGTGGAGCAAAAGACCTGAAATATCCTATCTTCTAGGAGAGGGAAGTCAGCAGCTCTGATGGTTTTTACTGTTGGTTGTTTTATTGTTGTTTAGAGTAGTAGGGATTGAAGCCAGGGATACTCTACCACTGAGCTACATCCCCAGCTCTTTTGGAGACAGGGTCTCACTAAATTGCCCTGGCTGGCCTTGAACTTGCAATCCTCCTGCCTCAACTTCACACGTACCTAGGATTACAGGTGTGTGCCACTGCACCTGGCTCTGTTGGTTGTTTTAGACCCTAGTAAGAATTCAGTTTGATCAATCTTGCCTAGCCTGGGTCCTTTTTGAGGCAAACCCAAGGGGGAAAGATTTGGCAAACCATCTAGGCATCTGGGGCAGCAGTTAAGTAGATGGTATTCATGCTGGATGTTTGACCATGGATGAGCCCCAGTGTCGGGGACTGGAAGAACTGCTGGTCAAGTCGGTGAGGTTTTCTGGTTTCTGGGCCTCCTCTTGGCCCTGATAGAAACTATTCCTAAATTCTCTCTTTACCAGTTTCAATGATCCCTTCATTGCTGCTTCTCCTACCACACAGGTGTTCCTTCAGCCTACAGCCACCTGCGCAGAGTCTCTTTCTTTGCGTAGCTTGAATAAACTGTTGCATGGCTGACCTACTCCCCAGCCCCTCAAGGCTTCTCTCCTTGTTCCACCCCACTTTTGTTTATCTTCTCTCATTTATGGCCTAACATAGTAACAGTTGTCACTTGAATAGTAGATTTTAAGTGGGGCTACCTAAATCCAATTTGAGTAATAGTCAACTACTAGGTATTAATTAAAACTAGTGTGTTTAAGTGCCAAGATAAATTCTATTAGAAAGGAGGTGTCTACACAGTTCCTGACAGACTCTGGGATGTCTCCACCTTGTTCTTTTTTTTTTTTTTTTTTTTTTTTTTGAGTGCGGGAGAGAGAGAATTTTAATATTTTTTTTTTCAGTTTTTGGCGGACACAACATCTTTGTCTGTATGTGGTGCTGAGGATTGAACCCGGGCTGCAGGCATGCCAGGTGAGCACACTACCACTTGAGCCACATCCCCAGCCTCCACCTTGTTCTTTAAAAAATAAAATAAAATTTTCTGCCAAGAAAATTAAAACAAGCTAGGCACAGTGGCACACAACAAGACCCTATCAAAAAAAAAAAAAAGTAAAACATACTTGCATTAGTCTTATGGAACTTGACTCCCATGCGGTGACCAGAAATACTGCCTTCTCTGACCTTCTAATATTCTAGATGCACCAGAGTATTTTTAGGTTGTAGTTCAAGACCAGATTAATAAACTTAACTCGGAATAAGATGGTTACTGGAAACACGTGGTTCCCTGAGCATCTCCAAGTGGTAGTTCTAGACGTGCCTTCCTTGACTGTACCTCCTGACATCTCTCTCTACTTCCCCAAATGTCAGGGGTAACAGTGGAATATCTGGTAAATATACCAACTAAGGCAGCAAACACCTCTCATTTTCAAGTGTATTCCTTTGGGTAACTTTGGTGGGATCCCCCTCCCACCGCAGCTAGTTACTTGAAGAAGCAGGACAACTTCCCCACGGCGTAAATGCAGTTTACCTGTGTGAACAAAGTGGAGAAGGAATGTGCCTCTGAGGTCTAGCCAGCTCCTGGTCAGTCTCGTTCGCAGCCCTTTGCAAGCGTGAGCCAGATAACAATATCTCCAGTCTAGCTCTGCATCCTCGGCACTGCGCCTGCCCAGTAAAGAAGCTGGCTGTGGCTGGGGAATTACAAACACCACCCCCATGGGAGGTTGGCTTGGGCTATAAGCACAGTTTCTTTACAGCCCTTTTCTATGCCCAGTCCACAGATCATTTCATCAGACAGAATTTGAAAATAAAGTGCTTTATTGCTGAGAATCCCAGAAAGCCAGCCTCAGGGCAGCTGTCTAGGGGTGGAGGCTTAAGTCTCCCACCTCTTGTGAACAGGGAGAGTTGGAACTCACAGAAGTGTGGTTTGGGGAAGAAGGGGAGACTGGGAAGAGGCGTGAGGTGTGCTGAGACCTTAGGCACATCTCCTCCCAACTCTGAACTCAGTGCATTCAGTGACATCGCCAGGAACTTCAAACGGGCCATTGGTGGGAGTGTTTACACCACAGAAATTACCCAAGTGCTACCAATCAGGGCTCTTTTCCTGCCAGATTGCTCATTCATAATCACTCCAGGCACATGGCACCCTCCTGGACCCATCTCAAGTTCTGAGAGGGAGAAAAACCAGTAGCCAGGCTGGGACAGTTCCTACCAGCAAACAGGTAGGACTGAGGGCCAGGACACATGGTATGTCCGCATTTCCATCACACTCCCAGGTGCCCTGAAGCCTAGGCTCCTTCCCCGCACCCTGGGTCCTAGATCCCTTCAACCTTCTCCTCAAATCCCCTGGACACCTAGGTCCCTGACCTGCCTTGGAGTCACAAGCAGAAGGCCTGGGGCACCAGACTGGCCTTACAGGATGACCCCTAGCACTCACCCGGTCTGGGAAGGGGTGGGGTGAGGGGCCTGAAAGGGACTTTTTGCAGTTCAGCAGCCCCCAGCTGCCCCCTGCAGCATCTGTCCGGCAGCCCCTCATCAGTACTCCTTGGCCTCCTGCAACTGGGCCAGATACTCCTCCTCAGGGGGGTTGTCCGCGCAGGCCCGGCCATTGTTGGGGGGCCGCACAGCATGGTAACGGCTCCAGTCCCCCTTACACAGGATCCAGGGCAGCTTGTCCACCTTGAAGTGCAGCTCAGGTGAGAAGTCCGTGCTGACAAGGTCCGGGGCTCCGGCGCCCTTGCCACGGGTCAGCAGCCGGCTGCCCTCGTCGTAGCAGCAGTGCTGGGCGGCCAGCGTGCTGCTGCCCCCCGACAGCAGGGAGCGCAGGCAGAAACGCGCCGTGGGCTGGTAGACGTCCAGGCGCTCGTGTGGGCCACTGGCGTCCCTCCACCGGAAGCTGCGGCCCTGGTGCTCGTCCTGCAGGCTCACGGCACTATCCACGGCCTCCAGCGGGTAGGCACACGGGCAGCTGGGCAGGTCCCGCAGCACCTGGCTCACATACTTGGCTAGGAACTCACTTTTGCAGTTCAGCCACTTCTCACAGCTGTCCACATCTGCAGAGGGCAAAGAGGGGCAGGAGGTCAGCTGGTCAGAGGGTTGACCATCCGATGGTGGAGTGAGGGCTGATCGAAAGTCCAGGCCCCAGCTGGCACCAAAGGCAGGGACGGTTTAGGGGAAGAAGTGGAAGGACCCAAACTAGATCTGGGGCAGACACGGCTGTCCCACACCAACTGGAAACGTGAAGTTAAGAGGCCGTCGCTCAGAATGCACCGCCTTTCTCAGGCTCTGACTTAGCGAGTCACTTTGCCCTTCTGGGCATCCTAAAGTCCCTTCTGTCTGTGCTGCCCTCTTCCCAGTTCTCTCCCTGGGAAAGTGTGGCCTGTGATTCCGGCCATACAGAATGAGATGCCCCTTCCTCTCTGCTCTGCAGCACTGTGTTCTGCTCATGCTGGTGATGTGTTTCCAACCATGAGCCCAGAGCTCTTGAAGGGCAGAAACCAGGCCTTTAGGATTCCTTAGTGGCAGCTCAGTGCCAGATGCAGGATTCAGGCTTCAGGGTGCTGAGCACAGCCTCGTCAGCATAGTGGCCTGTCTTCCTTGTGGGTGCAGGTGAGACTAAGGAGTGTGCTCGAGGAAGCATCATCTACCCCCAGCTTCCCAGAAAGAGTGTTCCTGATGTTGTGGACATGGACCCACCTTCCCAGATGGAGTCTGCCCCAGAACCTCCAAAGAGACCAGAAAGAAGTCCGAGGATCCCTGTGCCATCCTGTTGCTAGGAAAGACGTAGGCCCCACCCCACCTGCCATGATCTCTAAGCTCTCTGGCTGTCATTAAGACCTTCTTACCAGCAGGGACATCAGTGTGGGGGAGGCCAATGGGCCTGCTTCATAAATGCTGTGGCCCCTTCCTGGGGACACAAACCATCCACTGGAGGATGCACTCAGAGCCTCAGTAGATGAAGGCCAGGTTCCTGTCCTGCAGTAATGTGCCACCCTCCCCAGAGAGGTTCTGCACCATCCCCCAGGGGCAAGGCCTAGCACACCACTGACCTGGGCCAAGCAAGTCCGTAGCGTTGTGGGCCAGGGGCTGCCGCCCCTCGCTGGGAAAGCCCAAGTTGTCCTTGTTCTCAGCGCCTTTGGGAAAAGAGGAGGCCAGGCTGGTGGCGCCCCCGGGCACCTCTGTGCTCCCGATGGGGAAGCCCAGCCCACACCAGGCTCTCGGTGCTCACAGAAGCTGGGACAGGCCTGGGACAGGACCACCATATTTGTGAGCTTCCTGCATTCCCAAGACCACCCCCACAACCCCCCACATTCCCAGGTGACAAGACCCGTAGTCTAAGCCATACCAGCCACTCCTATGCAGGGGCTAGGGCCAGTCTCACCAGGGCAGGGGGGCAAATCACAGGTACGGGTCTGGGTGGCAGTGCAGGCATAGCCACAGGCCCGAGTCCTCTGCTGGCTGCCGCTGCTGCAGTTCCCAGTGCAGGGAGACCAGGGGCTCCACTCCTCCTGAAGCTCGTAGTCTGGGTCAAGGCAGGGAGAGGGTGAGTGCACACAGCCTGCAGAGGGCCCTGGTGCAAATCAGCAGTGGGCTGGCCTTCCTCAGCTGGATAAGCCTGTGCCAGAGCACCCGGCCTAGTGGATGGAGCGTTGGCTTGCCCACTCCCTCCGCTGAGAACCCTTGTACAGTGAACAACCTGTAAAGATCTATCAGGTGGCCCTAGGGGGACAGTACAAACCCCTGCCATTCCCTTTGTGCCAACAAAGAAATGAATAAGAAAATATCCCTGGGGCTGGAAGCCACCTGACCACTATGTGCATGACCTCAGGAAAGTTCTACACCTCTGAGCTAGAAGGGTTTTTTTGTTTGTTTGTTTGTTTTTTGTTTTTTGGTACCAGGGATTGAATCCAGAGGCACCTAACCACTGAGCCACATCCTCAGCCCTATTTGTATTTTATTTTTGAGACAGGGTCTTGCTAAGTTGCTGAGTCTGGCCTGGAACTTGCAATCCTCCTGTCTCAGCCTCACAAGTCACTAGGATTACAGGAGTGTGCCACCATATCCAGCTGAACTAGTTTTTATGTCAATCAAAACCAAGGGTTATAATACTTCCTTGGCACTGTGGTTATTAAAGAATATCCCTGCTGCATGTTAGGACCCACACGGGCTCTGAAGGAGCTCAGTCACACTGGCTGGGCCTGAGAACTGGGGCTGTCTCTAGGACCTAAAAGGTCTAGCACGGCTGGTTCTCTAATGGCTTCCTGGGCAGCCCGAACAGCCTGGCACCAAGAGTCTGAGGAAAATGAATGTCATAAAAGCAAAAGCCATGAAAACTCTGTTACCTTACAATATTTTGAAAAATTGAGAAGAGCCTGTCATGACTTAGTCCCAGTCACTGGCACCTTGGTCCAATGACAAGGCCTCCCGGGGCTCTAGGGGAAACTGCTGAGACTGTGCATAAAACACATCTGCCCCCAGTGGAAACCAGAACCACAATATTCAAAAATAAAAATTGTTATCATGGGCTGAGCACATGCCTGTCATCCCAGAGGCTCAGGAGGCTGAGACAGGAGGATTGAGAGTTCAAAGTCAGCCTCAGCAAAAGAGAGGTGCTAAGCAACTCAGTGAGACCCTGACTCAATAAACTACAAAATAGGGCTGGGGATGTGGCTCAGTGGTCAAGTCCCCCTGAGTTCAATCCTCAGTAATGCCCCAGTACCAAAAAATATTGATCATGGGAGGCTAAAAGTGTTAGGAATCTCTTGTCTTTTTGTAATAAAAAGAGCCAGGGCATCGTTCACTCTATGCTGGTGCTTTATGGACATTAGCTCGTTTAACACTCTTTCCAACCATCCCTCCGTAGTAAAGGCCTACATGGCTCTCCATTTCACAGGGGAGGGAACTCAGGCACAGTGAGCCTAAGTAACTTGCCCAAGGTGGGTCATTCAGCAGAGCCAGGATTCAAACCCACACTGGAAATAAAGTTGACAGTGAGTGGTGAGGTTTATATTTCTCACTTGGTTGGAAACCAATGGATCCGAGTACACACATTAACAAATGTCTTTCTCCTCGGGCCGTTGAGAGGGGTGAATGTTGGGAAAACCACAACCACTTCCCAGGCTGTGGGTAACAGCACTTTTGAGAAGATGATGGTGTTTGTACAGGGCCTAAGCTGCTGGCCTCCCAGCTCCTCCTGCCTGGAGGACCCAGGCCCTCTCCCCGACCCCCACCCCGATCTCGAGAGGCGGCAGCCTAGGGATGCCAAGCCGGCAGTGCTCACCATAGCTGTCGAGCTCCCTGAAGGACCAGCCATCTGTGGCCCCACCAGACCAAGGCACCTCGTCCTCGTCGGCATCCTCCTGGTCCCCGCCCTCGCTGTACTCGGAAAGGTAATCCTCCTCTTCCTCTCCCACCTCCTCCTCTTCCCCTGGGGCTCTGTCCCTGAAGCCAGTGTCCCCTTCCTCATCTTCCAGGTAGCTCCAGAAGAGGGGCCAGAAGAGCTCTTTGGTGGGCATCTGGCTGGGGGCATCCTGGGGCCAGCGATGACTGGGCTCGGCCAGCAAGTCCATCTCCACCTCAGCCTGGGGGTCCTTTACCACCTCGATGGTCACCTGCAGGCAGACAAAGCACCGAGAGAAAGGGCTCAGAGCAGGACTCCAAGGAAAGGGGAGGTGACAGGGCCAGCCCCAGAGGCCAGAAGCCCAACCTTGCTTCCAAACCAGCTCTCTTCTCCCTCTGACCATGGCCTCTCGGGAACATGGGGAACAGCCCAGGACACGCTGTGCAGACATGCTGTGCGTCAGAACCACCTGGAGGTTCCGGACTCCCAGAGCCACATATGGATGTAACTGCTCTGGGGTGAGGACAGGCACGGCAGTTCTAGCAAGTGCCAGGGCTGAGACCAACGAGTTTAAGAGAAGCTGGCTCTGAATTCTGGCTCTGCTGCAAGCAGGCTGCCTGGCCTCAGGGACTGAGAACAGCATGGGGGCTTCCAAGTCCTCAGGGCAGGGTCAGAAAGTGAGAGCGCTGGCTTCAGATCCCCCAGCAGCCCTCGGGAGGAGCTCTCACCACACTGTGCATGGGAGAGAAGTAAAACTCACTCATGCGAAACTGAACTTGAAAACATTAGTTTGGGCTACTGCGAAGTAAAAGGAGGTCATTGAACAAAACCTGTGGGGAAAAAACATCACAGTATAAGAAGAAAATGAGCCCGTCCCAGTGGCACACGCCTGTCATCCCAGGGATTCGGGAGGCTGAGGCAGGAGGATCGCGAGTTCAAAGACAGCCTCAGCAACTCAGCGAGACCCTGTCTCTAAATAAAATATAAAAAAGGGCTGGAGATGTGGCTCAGTGGTTGAGCACCCCTGAGTTCAATCCCCATCTCCACTACCAAAAAATAAATAAATAAATAAGCACTTTAAAACGATTTTAGAATGCGATGTTCTACATTTTAGTGGTCTGTCCCCTAAACTCTTTTGGTGAAAGTGTTTTGCAGATTGTGGCTGATATTAAAAACATGCAGAATTATGATCCTCAAAGATTCGGGACAGGCTGAGACAGTGGAATACGTAGCCGGAATTCTGCCAGCCTCGCCCGTTTCCTCTCCTAGAACACCCTCTGGTGGCAGTCCCCATGAGGCCAGTCACCCAGTTCTGTACTGCAGGGGCCTCCAGGAAGGCCCTGGAGGAAGAGGCTGGGACTGGCTGGGGAGCAGACCTCCACGCCCATTCCAAGAAGCCTCTCCCACATCCCCAGAACATCCTGCAGTGGACCAAGCATTTCCCACTCATTCAGACATTACCAGGACAGTGCTATCTGTCCCTTGCTATGGCACAGGGGACAAGAGTCTGAGAGCCAAAAGCTTGCCCAAAGTCCACAGAAAGGGGCAGGCACTCTCCCCACACCCCAAGGGGAGGGCTTGGGCATGCGCCTCTGTCTCCGCACAGGAACCCCCTCCCCTATGCACTGCAGGGTGGGGGTGAGCCGCCAGCCCAGCTCCTCTCCAAGTGTCCACTGGCCAATGGCCCTTCTGCGGCTCTCACCTGGATGTTGGGGTTCCGGGTGCCCAGGTCTGTGTTGGCCATTCCTGGCAGTTTCTGCAGCTCCATTAGCAAGGGACTGTCCTCCAGGGTCTTGGGAGAGGTGGCCTTGCCTGGGGTCCAGGCTGTTGGCTCCCGTAGAGTCTGGCACCTGTGCTGGCATGGCCCTGCCTGCAGGTGGGTTCCAGGGAGCGGGGGTATCTCCTCTTCCCCAGGAGAGTTGAGATCTGGGGAAGCGGAGGCCTAGGGAGAAACGGAAGGTGGAGTGACTGAGGTCAGGGTGCACCCCACATGGACCCAGGACATGCCAGTCAGGGGGATTCGGGAGCCCCAGGCTCTGACCACACCACCCGCTCACCCTGGGACTTAACTCCGTCTGGAGTGCACATATGGAAAGTGGATCTAACCACTGCCTGCTTTAACGGTCCCAGCAGACAAATGAGGTGCAGCAGGTCGGACCGCGGATTGTGTCCACAAAACACTTTGACAACTGATGCCAACTTGAGGCGGGAAAGGAGCATCAGCATGGTCCCACCTCCTTGTTTTGCAGGTGAAAATGAATAGTAAAGAGCTAAGCTAGGGGGTCCAAACTGCTGTCTGCAGACCACTCCCCTTCAAATCCTCGCCACCCCATTCCTGCCTCAGGCTCTCAGAAGTCAGAGCAGGAAGGCCTCCAGGGATGGGCTCCCTGGCCACTGGCTCCTGCCAGAGCTGGCCACAGGACGGCTGCATTCCTCCGCATCTCCAACCACAGTGACGTCCCTCCTCCTGCCCCTGGTCCTACTCCAGGATGCTTGCATGTAGGCCAGGCCACGCACTCTGTGACACTGCAGGTGGGAGGCTGAACGCACCCCTGCCAACCCCGGGGCCTCGTCAGCCCAGCTCCTTGCTCTCACTGACTCTTCTCTCAAAAGGCTGGAGAAATAGATTCTGACCTTCTCTTTCCCCTGCTGACCTCCCCTTTGGGGACTCCAGTCACCTGGCTGCAAGGCTCCTGTATAGAACACCTGTCTCAGAGCAGCCACAGGCCCTCGTGCCTGGGCCTGAAGGCCCTCGCTGAGTCAAGGTACTGGTCTGGCCAGCATGGATGGAGCAGTCGGGTGGGGAGGGAGAGTGATGGAACAGCTGGACCCTCTGCTGACCAATTCTGGAGGCCATCCCCCAGTGTGGCCCTCCTGGCTGCTCTCACCCACAATTCCACCCAACCTGTCCCTGGGACTTTGCTCAGTGGTTCTACCTTCTGCAGTGTCTAGGGCCAGAGATGGTGGTCTCAGGGCTTAGGAACTTGGGGACAGCAGCCTTTCTGGCTGTTCCGGAGACCCTCACCACAGGCAGGCAGTGGCAAAGCAGTGGTTCTCGTCTGGGCACAGCAAGCAACGTCATAAGACGTGTGTGGATATCACAACCGGAGAGGGGTTCTACTAGCACCTGTGGGCAGAGGCCGGGGACACTACCATAGATACTACAACTCCCAGGACAGCCCACGCCAAGAATTCTCCAGCCTGGAAGAAGTTAATAGTGCTGTCTGCCTCCATCTGAGTTCGGACCTGTGGGGCCCTAGCTGGGGACATAACCTTTGTGAGCTGAGCATAGCCCCTGCTATCTGGTAGATGTCCAGGCTGGTCATTTCCACCCCTCTCTACTCCCTCCCCTCCTGGTTCCCCAGCTGGACCAAAGGATGAGCAAAGGTTAGAGAAGCCCTGGTTCCCAAGTCCAAGCCTCCCCTGCTGCCCTTCCTCCCTGGATCTGCTCCTAGCGCCTCCTGCTCTGTAGAGAAGCCCTCAGGAAGTGGCAAGGGACAGGGGACCATCCCATCTTGAAGTGGTTCCCTGAGACAAGGATTCAAATGCAGGTGTTCACTTTAGAAGGGCATCCTAGGAGACACCAGCAGGGGAGGGCCACAGCTATTAAAGTTTGTCTAGGAAGCCAGCAACATGGCGAGCAGCTGGAGTTCAAGCCTTCTGGGCGCCTCTCTGAGCCATGGTTATGGTTGTGCCCCAGAGGGGAGGGAGTTGGGGTACTGATCCACCAACTCCGCTTGTGAAGGATGTGGGGTGGGGGAGAGGATTTGCTTCACAGGCAGCTCAGGCTGGCCATGGGCCAGCAGGACATGGACAGCTCTGAGCAGACCTCTGCCAGTAAAAGCCCTCAGCAAGTGAACACTGGCCACAGGAAGTGAGGCCTGGGATGATGAGAGCAGAGCACCCGAGAGCCGACCCGTAACCAGGCCCCAGGCCTGGGCTGGGCTCCCCATCTGTCACTTCCTCCAACTATAATGCACATTCTGCACAGGCAGGAAGTTGTCTGCTTTGCTCACTGTGTTCTCAGCACCTAGTACAGTGCCTGGTATGTTATAGCTCAAAAAATAAATAAATAAATAAACAAACTGTGAGTACATGAACAGACACCAACCCTACAGGGAGACTGTCTTCAGGTTACAGCTGTGAAAGCTCTGGGAAGGTGAGGGACTTAGGTAAGGTTACAATAACAGAGCCGGGATTCAAACTCGGTTTTGCCTGTTCTCATCCCCCCTGCACGCTACACACACATGCACTCATAGTGCAACCCTCATGCGGGACCTCCCTCTGCATTCACAGGCGTTTCCTCCCTCCCTCCCTCCTTCCCTCTTCCCTTCCTTTCTGCCTCAGGCTCCCAAGTTATTAGGATTACAGGCGGCAGGGTGTGTCACCACGACTTCACGGGCCTTTCACTTTCATCGTCTGGTTTGGCAGCTGAATGTTGTGGTAACAAATCCATATGGCCTGGGTTCAAGTCCCGACTCGTACACTTTCCGGCTATAAGTAACCTCGGGCAGGTCACGCAATTCCCTCTGTAAATCAGGGAATTGGCGGTGGCTGAGAGGGTTGCTGAGTTAGAGCAAGGCCTTGCCCATGGTAACAAATGGTACCTAGACAGACAGTTCTCAGAGCAGAGAGGAGAGAGAAGGAACTCCTTTCTGGCCTGGCACTGGGTTAGTTCTTTGCATTTTATTCAGGTCATAAGACACCCCTACACCCTGCCCCGCTGATGCAGAATCTCCCAGCAGCCCAGAGCACACCCTGCTGAGACACGCCACAGGGTACCCCACGTGGATCTTTATGGTGACAGGCCTGGCTCCCATCGAAGCTTCTCTGTCTTGATGTTTTCATCTGGGAAATTGGGATGATGCTTATGTTGAAATGATGTGACAATAAATGAATGTCATGTTGACTAAGTCATACCGCCTCTGTGAGACCCAGAGAGAGCTGACACCCTGCTGCTTTGAGATGGGGTGGGTGAGGCTCTTAAGCTTCTCATAAGGACCTCGGGGCTGGTAGGTCCTTCCTGACACCCCACCAGAGTCTCTACAACAGCTGTCTGCATTCCCTCAACAGGACCTTCTAACCAGCACCTTTGATGTAAAATCACAGACTTGTGGAGCATCAGAGCTGGACAGGACCGTGGGGATGACTTATCCCCTCTTTAAATGTGAGAAAAGCATTCGAGGTGAGTCACACGTGCATTCCCAACTTGCCAAAACCAGGCCTTCGGGCCCTATGCTCTGTGTCTGTTTTTCCTTCATGGCACTAATTTGCTTTTTAGGTGTTTTTGAGGACTCTGCCAGGCCCTGTCCTGGGACTGAGGATATGAGTTTGGCTCTGAAATAACTCATTCTCTAGGCTGGTCTCCATGGGGGCAGATTTGGCAAACACGCTGAAAATAATTACAATACAAAGCAATAAGTGCTAAGATAGAAAATATAAGGGCTGGGGATGTGGCTCAAGTGGTTAACATGCTCGCCTGGCATGCGCAGGGTGCTGGGTTCGATCCTCAGCACCACATAAAAATAAAGATGTTAGGGCTGGGGATGTGGCTCAAGCGGTAGCGCGCTCGCCTGGCATGCGTGCGGCCCGGGTTCGATCCTCAGCACCACATACAAACAAAGATGTTGTGTCCGCTGAAAACTAAAAAAAAATAAATAAAAATTCTCTCTCTCTCTCCCTCTCTCTCTTTAAAATATATATATGCCAAGTGATCAGAAACAATGCCAATTTAACTAATTTTATCACCACTGTCATCTCCACGCAGGAGGTGGGACTGGCCAAAGGTCTCTGAATTTGTCTGAAGCAGTGGTTCCCGACAATGGGTGGGGGTGCGTATGTCCCTCAGGAAGTCTTTGGCAATGTCTGGCCCTGTAGTAGGGGCCAGGGATGTGGCAAAGCATCCTGTAATGCACAGGACAGCAGCCCCTATGACCAAGAATTATAGTTTCCAGGATGACAGCACAGGTAGGTTTGAGAAATCCTGGAATACAAGGATGTAAATAAGTCTTAGCTGGGCGGAGTGGTGCACGCCTGCAACCACAGCTACTTGGGAGGCTGAGGCAGGAGGATGGCAAGTTTAAGGCCAACCCTAGCAATTTAGCCAGACTGAGTCTCAAAATATAAAAGGGTCAGGAATGTAGCTCAGTGACAGAGCACCCATGGGTTGGGTTAGGACAATGGTTTGTGATAACTAAGGATCATAGAACACAAACAGTATATCTGTATTAAAGTTTCATAGGGATTGATGGGAACACAGAAAAAAATCAAGAAGTCTCCAAATGGGAACAAACCACTGGTCTACAGACCAGCTTGTCCCTTTCTTTCTCATGGTTCTGGAGGCTGCAGCAGCCCGACAATAGGAGCATGGCAGAGCTCATTCCTATTGCATGCTCACCACCTCCTGCATCTCTGGGCCCCTCACTGTCCTCATCTTGAAAATGGGGAGAGCACTCTGGCCTCCTTTCAGAACAGCTCAGGTCATGGAAGGACCCAGGACCCAGGACCACCTCCCACTCAGGCCCATTTCTGTATGGAAGTCTCTGTGGGAATATATGTCAGACATCTCTGGGTTGGAAACAGAGGTCTTGACAGATGATCATTTCTCTCCATGGGCCGATGCCATCTTCCATCTCATTCCTTAGCCCCAAGACCAACCCACAGGTCACCCCAGAGTGCCCACACTGTCTTAGTAGGCACTAATATAGAAGTCCCTGGCACACTGGCACGCAGCAAGTTGGAGAACCCCACGACCTATCTCAGCTTGCCTCAATTCACACTCGTAGGGGCTCAAATCCTTGGAGGATTCGAATCAAGAGATTGCACCAAGGGGGTCACTTGATCCTTTAAACCTCAACAACCGCAGCCCACCACTCTGCAAAGCAGAGCCCTGAGTTCTTCTTACTCCTGGTGGGACTCCTCTACGAACAAGTGAGCATCAGG